AAGCCAGGGTGATCCAAAAATGTCTTCCATATTGCCCAATGCGCCCCACTCTGCCCACCGAGAATGGGTGCTTTAGCATCGCTCCTGGATTTGAATCCCAGTTCTTCCATTTATTTGCTCTGTGGCTTATTTCCCTCATGTGCAAAATGGACCTTGTTGGAGGATTAAACCTGTAAGAACATATCATGTAGACTCTCAGTAAATGTTAACGATTATTATGATATAAATGACAGAGACTGCCTTAATCACATATGGAACGGTTAAAAAAAAAGTTCTGTAACATGATATACGGTCTTCAAATGTGGAAGGTTTGGGACGGTCTGGCTTAAGTCAGACCCATTCACGTTTGCCCTGGGTGGAAGATCTCATCGTTTGTCTTTGTCATTCACAGTGCTGGCCATCCCCCTGCCCCCATCTTCCTTCTCCTTACTCCCTTCCTGCCTTCTTCTCAAAGCCTGCATCCCTACTTTGCTTGTGGAGGGCAGGAACAGGCTGTTTTGCAGTTTGGAAGGGAAGAAGCAACACTTGGATAATTATGGGTTGCCTGGGGCAGAAGACTTCCTTGGACCCCTTTCGGACAGGTCACAGCAAGGCCCTTACCCTCCTGGGCCTCCAGCCCTTCCCCGGGGAACTCAGAAAGAGCCACACCGTGGCAGTGAGCAACAGGCCAGGTTCCTACAGGCTTATCTGGAGGGCCCTCGCTGGTTCTCCTAGAGATGCCTGGAAATTTGGAAGTGAGGGAGCATCTTTTGGCGGGGGAGGACATAGTGGAAGCAAATTGTGCTTTCCTTGGGGAATTCTGTCAGACTGCACCCCTCCCAGAGATGAAAGGAGCATCTGGGACTCCCACGAGCCCTGCATAATAGCTTAGAGAAAGTACAATATACTTCAATTACACTGCTGGCTTCTGCATGCATCATAAAGTGAGACGATGAGGTAGCCAGGTCATTACAAGCAATGAGCAGAGATCTCCCTGCTCAGAATGTGGCCTGAGATCTGATAGGAATCTCCTTGGGCCCACGGCTGTGGTGAGTGCCAGAAATTACCCGCAATGACTGACCGAAACCCAGAAGGAGGCCCTCGCTGGACTCCACTCACAAGCTCAGCATTGCTCAGAATGCGAAGTCATTGAGCAATTCTTGCCCGATTCCCCGGCTTTGAAGATATCACGAAGACATAAGGAAGGCCCTGGAAAACTAAATATGCTCAGTTGGCAGAGAACAAGTCATAACTGGTCAGAAAGACTTTGTTTCATGGCATTCTCCTATCTGGGTCAAAATGGACACTTGGGGAGCATTTTGTGTCCTTGAGAGAAAGATCTTAGGAAGTTTTAAAGCTTCCCGGCTCAGTCAATGCCTTTTATTATAGTGCCATCTATAGAAGAAGAAGAATCTAGTAATAATGCCCGCCACCCATTGGCAGCTGAGCTGCGTGCCACCCACTATGTTGAGCACATTTAAAACATCTCATGGCTCTGGGATGTGGGGCAGGTGAAGCAGGGGAGCACTGAGCAGCCAGACGGCCAGCTCAAGGCCCCAGGATGAGGCTATCTCCCCAACTCCATGGTGTTGACTTTTGATCACAATGAATAAATGCCCCAAGAAGAAAATATTGGCCACCTACACATAAGTGACTGTTGAAGAACAGCCCATTCCAAACAACTCCCGTGTTCTGCTTTTTGACACACCTGTGCTGTCACTGGGCCGAGAGGCCCACCTCCTCCCCAGTCACATCACTGAAGTTGGATGTTCTGGTATCGTTGCTAAATGGTTAGGTGACCGCCCGTCCGGTCAGGAAGGAACAAAGACAGCCAGTGGGGGGAGCACACAAATTAGAGGAAAACCTCTCCAAGCAAACTCTCTTCTCAAGAAACTGTACTCACTCAGCTGTAATGAGATTTGTCTCTCAAACATATGCCTAATCCAAAAGCTTGAGCTCATTTCAGGGCTAGAAATTGAACCGGGGGCTTCAGCTTCACAAAAACTTGGTGAAATCACTCACAGTAAGCATGCAGAAAGGAAACAGTATCCTTTTACCAAAAAGGGGGCTGAAACAAAAGGTCTTTATTTTATGAGTCTGGGAGAGTTCGTTTTATTTCATTAAGAAGCCCTAGATTCTGTTTTCACTTCATGATACATGTTGATAGGTGTGCCTGGGGAGTCATTCTCCCAAAGGACGATACGCACTTTTCATACACTCCATAAATATGAAGTCATTACAATGGCCCCCTTGAGGGAGAGAGAGGATTCTGAATTGAGAGAACAGGTAATCAGATGCCGAAGAAGAAAGGTAGAAGGCAACAGGGCAGGTCGCCAGAAAGTGGTGGGAAACAAGATAGGGACCTGTTTACTAGAACGAAGGTATAGTCAGGGGCTTGGGCTTCAGAAACAAGGGGAACCCAGTTTCTGGTACAAAGCTATCTGTTCCGAGCTGAGCAAGCCACAAGCTGATTTGGAGCTGAGCCACCCAGCCCCCTGCATGTGGGTTCTTAAATTCTTGAAGATTAGCAAGAGGACTGGTCTGGCTAATATGTCCTCTCCCTGGAAGGGTCTTCCCTCCCTTGGCTACCTGGTGAACTCGTGCATTCTTTAAGACTCGGCCCAGTTGTCCAAGGGGACATTTCGTGTCCTATGTCACTTAGTGCTATGGATTTCAGCTTGGCAGCCTTCTCCCTCTTGATTCATAAGCCTAGTTCAGTGCATCCCTCCTTCGGGCCCCATGGCATTGTGTGCATGTTACGTTTCATTGTGATTGTTATTGTAGGAAAGCATTCTATCACATGGGTTTGGAAAGGGAACTTTGAAGTCTGACCCGCCTTAGTTCGAATCATGGTTCCCCCACTTCCTGCCTGTACGGCTTAGAGCAGATGACTTAGGGACACCTCCACCTCTCCGTTTCCTCATCTGTAAAATGGGTTCATAAGTCGCTACCTGTGGCGTCTGGTTGTACTGAAGATTAAGTGAAACGATTGTTGCGAGTGAAATGAGACAACACATGGAAGGCGCTTAGCGTCTGGCTTGCCGTAAGCAGGAGCTCAGGAGATCGTAGCTGGCACACTGCGGCTGCCCCTTTCAGGAAACCTGCCCCTCAGTTGACAGGGATAAAGTACCTGTAGCAGCAAAGAGCAGGCAACTGCCACCACCACCACCTAGTTGAACTGGAAGGTCCTTCAGGATGCAGCCATTGAGTTAACTGGCCTGGCAAGAAGAGCGCTCCACCCCAGAGAGGCTCCTTATGTGGGATAAGCAGTGGCCCAACCGAGCACCTGGGACCCTCAGAGGGAGTGAGAGAGAGGGAGGCACTAAGCCGAAGCCACCAGTCGGAGGAAGAAGGGCAAGTCAGCCGAAGGAGCTGAGGGCAGAGAAGCAAGGGAGTGCGCTGAGCGACACAAAGCCAGGGGGCCCCTGAGGCTCACTGCTGCTGCTGCTGCTGGAAGGCTGGGATCTTAGACTCAAAGTTGGAGTCACTTCCCCTAGGCCACAAAGCACGACATTCCAGAGAATGGGTTTTTATTAACAATTGTTAATATTTATTGTTTCCTATATATTACTTCCTTTAATCCTTTCAAGAGCCCTCCCCCCGCCAAACCGTGAGCTGAGTGCAATCATGACACCCATTTTAGAAGAGACACAAAGAAGCCCATGAACTTGCCCAAGGCCACACAGCTAATAAAGGCTGGAGGAGGGCGTCCCTATCTCCATCTTTCTGATTCCGAAGCCTGTTTCCCCGCAGGCCCACATTCTCCTCCCTGTCTGAGTCCTTCACTTTCCTTTCTCACAAACCAGCCGTCTTCAGTCCTCATCAATCTCACTTATGAGATAAACCCTTGTAAGGAAAAATATAAAGGATTTATTCTCTTTCTGGAACTCCCCTTGATGATTCAACATTAGAGGTGAAATTTTTCAAATGCTTTTGCCATCTCCGTGATAAAATCATCCATGGTCCTTTTCAGTTTCATTTATTTATCCAACATTCTGTCCTTGTTGGAGGGAAGGGAGTTGAGAACAGATGCCCACCGCCTGTCATGATGGTGCAGAGCTAAGGTCAGGCTCCCCAAGCCACTTTAGCCCTGGTTCATCTTAACTCTCACCAATCAGAGAGCAAGTTTCTCTTCCAGGAGCTGAGCTGTGAGCTGTCTTGGGGCATTAGGTCTCTTCATGCATTATTCATCAAGCAAGGCTCCAAACTTGAGAAAAACTTCTGTGCCTCTGGCTGGCCCGCTCACCCACCCAGAGCTTAGCGTTCACTGGCCAGCCTCATCATTAGGAGATTTTGAAAAAAGACAGAATTGTGAAGGACTCCCCTCCCCTCCTTACAAGGGGCTGTCTGGAGCTCTCCTTAGAGCGTGGACTAAAGCCCAGGAAAGGGGGTGGGGAGAGGCCTGGAATACTCTGATTTGCATGACAAAAAGTCCAAGGTTAAGTGCTACTGAGGGCCTGGCTTCCAGCCAAGAGAAAACCCTGGCCTGGAAGGATGACCGGGAAGGAGCAGGGTGTGATTGAAATTTGCCTGGTGGATGCAGGCAAGGTGGGCCTGGGGCCCTCGCACCCTCACACCCACCTCAAGTCTGAAAACCAGAGCAGACATGAGTGTTGCATTATATAGTTCTTAACTCAGTCAGCTTCTACTTTCTACTTCTGCTTTTGCCTGGGCTTTGTTTTGAAGCTGTCTGAGGTATTAGGAGCCCCCAGAACGCTTGTGTTCAAGAATGATCAACACAGATAAAGCCGGGTTTGCAGTTGGATACCATTTTGGATTCCTCTTGAATTCACTGTCCAAGACACAAAAACTTTATGTTCAGAGATTTTATCTGCATACATGTCTACATTCATATGCATTATATGTACATGTATGTAGACATACATATGTATTACAGATTTCTTTTAAGAGGAAAAAAAAAGCACAACCGTTCTGTTTTGGGGGAAGCTAAATGAGGACATGACATCATGCTGAGAGAGGGAAAGAAATCTGAAGAAACCAACTTCTGTACTATTTTTCAGGTTTTACATTGAGAGCATATCGTTTTTAAAGGATAAAACCACGGTGGAGCTGTTTTTCCTGAACGCAAAGTCCTGTGTGCACAAGGTAAGATGCCCCATTTGTTATATTCAGTGAATGACTCCAGACGGACTGGAGCAGGGGGGACAATGGTATTGCCTAGCTTTTCATGTTCAAACAAAGAAAAATGGCCATAATCTTTCCCACTGCCATAAAAAAATACAAATAAATTTAAATGAAAGGCAGCTCTTCTCAAATTCTGAGTGAGAAAGACAGCCATCTGCAGGGAACTCATGCTCACAGACAATTACCATGGCCTTAAAGGCAGCTCGTACTCCACACAGAATATTCCAGAAAGACACAAAGATGGATTAGTCAGATTGTGATTGAAACCTCAAAAAAAGTCATACTGGAAATCTTGTTTCATAGAGTATGTCCTACATCTCTCATAATTCAAAACCAATCTTATTTACGGGCCTCTGCCCAGAGCCACATGTTTTAAAGCAGTGTCTCAGTTATCTGTGGTGAGGGACAGGTTTTTCTGCTTTATTGTTTTTTATTTGTATCCAATCTTTGGAGGACACACTGCTTTTGTAACATACAGTAAACATGAACTGCTGAAGAAATGATCCCATGCCCGGATGTCAGATTGCTATAAAGCATTCTCAATTTTGATCTTATCTCCTTGCAGACTATCATTGCGTTCAAGGTCCTCTCCTCTGGCCTCCTCAAACCACACCTTGGCCAAGGCAGGGAGTCTGCGAACCTAGATATGTTCATCTGGAACAAACTTCTCCATTCTAGGTTATAGTCTCAGTATTCAGGATCTCAGAGCCCATGCCCACTTCCAGGGCCAGTGGGAGCCCCTTCTGTCCAGATACATCACCCCAAATCTGAGGGGTGCCCAGCATTGCCTGGCCTAGAAAGATAAGGGGGGCAGACTATATATGGGTTAGGGAACTTACATTGGTATATTTCCCTTAGGCCCCCAAAATATTAAGGGTGGCTCACTGCGCACACACACACACACACACATAGAATTAATTGATTAAAGACTCAGACCGGGCAGAGTTTTTGTTGGATTTTTTTAAACAGCTATATTGAGAAATAATTGACTATACATGTTTAAAGTGTACAGTTTTGGGCGCCTGGGTGGCTCAGTTGGTTAAGCAACTGCCTTCGGCTCAGGTCATGATCCTGGAGTCCCGGGATCGAGTCCCGCATCGGGCTCCCTGCTCAGCAGTGAGTCTGCTTCTCCCTCTGACCCTCTTCCCTCTCATGCTCTCTATCTCTCATTCTCTCTCTCTCTCAAATAAATAAATAAAATCTTTAAAAAAAAATAAAGTGTACAGTTTTGTAAGTTTTAACATATAGTAGCCATGAAATGATCACCAAAATCAAGATAGTGAATATACCCAGCAACTGCACATCTGCTTTTTCTCACAATGGAGCAGTTTACATTTTCTAGAGTTGTATATAGGTAGAATCATATAGTAGATGATGTTTTTGTTTTCTTTCCTTTTTTTAAGATTTTATTTATTTATTAGAGAGAGAGAGCATGAGTTGGGGGGCGGGGGAAGGGGCAGAGGGAGAAGGAGAAGCAGACACCCTGCTGAGCAGGGAGCTCAATCCCAGGACCCCAGGATTGGTCCTGACCTGAGCCAAAGGCAGATGCTTAACCGACTGAGCCACCCAGGCGCCCCATCTTTTTGTCTTCTTTCAATGAGCATAATTATTTTGAGATTCATCTGTGTTGTTGCGTTTATCAGTAGCCCATTCCTTTTTATTGCTAAAGTATTCCATTGTATGGATGTGCCTTAAATTACTTTTCAATTCCCCTGTGGGTTTTTTCCCCATTTTTTTCGAGGTTTACTGAGATATAATTGACATATAACACTCTATAAATTTAAGGAGTACAAAAGGATGATTTGATACACGTATATGTTGCAAAATGATCCATTCACCTGTTGATGGACAGTTGGTTTGTACCAGTTTGGGGACTATTACAAATACAAATGCAATGAACATTCATGTACAAGTCATTGTATATACACATACTTTCTTTTTTCTTGAGTAAATACCTGGGAGCAGAATGGCTGGATCATATGGTAGATATGTTTAATTTTTTAAGGTACTGCCAAACTGTTTTCCAAAGTGGTTTTCACCAAAAATCAGTTGTTCATATATGCATGAGTTTATTTCTGGACTCTGTATTTTGTTTCATTGATCTATTTGTCAGCCTTTTTGCCAATAACATACTGTTTTGATTACTATAGCTTTAGAATATATGTCTTGAAATCAGAACAAACTCTAGCATTGTTCTTTTTCAACATTGTTTTATTCTGTTTTCTTGCATTTCCGTATAAATTTTAGAATCAACTTGTTAATTTAAAAAAAAAAAGAACAAAATAAAACAAAACAGAAAAACACCTGATGAGATTTTCCTTAGGATTGCACTGAATCTATAGACCAATGTAGAAAGAATTGACAACCTAGCAGTATGGAGTCATCAGACCCAGGACACAAGGTATAATCTCCATTTATTTCAGTCATCTTTAATTTCTCTCAGCAGTATTTATAGTTTTCAGCATACAGGTCTTTTGTCAGATTTGTCCTTAAATCTTCCCTATTATTTGATACAATTGTGAATGGTATCTTTCTATTTCAATTTCTGAGAGTTCATTAATAGTATATAGAAATACAATTGATTTTTGTATATTGCTCTTGAATTCTGCAACCTTCCTAAACTCACTTATCATTTTTGGTAGCTTCTTTGTAGATTCTACCGGATTTTCTTTATAGATGTTTGTGGCATCTGCTAATAGTTTTAATTCTTCCTTTCTACCCTGCCTGCTTTTTTATTAGTTGTCAAATTTGTAGACATAGTTGTTCAAAATATTTCCTTATCGCCCTCTTAACATGTGGTCTAGAGTGCTGTTACCTCTTTTGATCCTGTTATTAATAATTGGTGCCTTTCTCTTTTTTTTTCTAATTAGTCTGGCTAAAAGTTGATCTCTCTTGAGTTTCTCAAAGGACTAGCTTTTGGTTTCAGTGATTTTCTCTGTTGTCTTTCTGGTTTCTATCTCATTGACTTCTGCTATGATCTTTATTATCTTTACCTTTTAACTTTATTATTTACTTTCTTCCTTTTTCTTCGGGCTTCATTTGTTCTTCTTATTCTAGTTCCTTAAGGTAGAAGCTGAGATCACTGTTTAAAGATGTTCTTTTCTAATACAGGCATTTAGTATATAAAATTTCCCCCTAAGTACTGATTTTGTAGTATCCCACAAATTCTCATATGTTGTGTTTTCATTTTTATTTACTTCAAAAGATTTCCAAATTCCTCTTTCTTATATCTTCAATGGCCTCTGGTTATTTAGAAGAGTGCAGTTTGGTTTCCAAATATTTGGGGGATTTTTTAGGACTCTCTCTGTTATTTATTTCTAATATAATTCCACTGTGGTCAGAGAACACACTTTGTAGGAATTAAATTCTTTTAAATTTATTGAGACTTGTTTTATGGCCCAGAATATGTTCCATCTTGGTAAATGATCCATGCACAATTGGGAAGAATGTGTATTCTGCTATCCCTGTGTGGAATGTTCTGTGAATTTTATCACTGCTTTTGATTACGAGGTGTGTTGGTATAGCTTTCTTTATGGTTCTTATGATTGGTGTTTATTGAGCATTTTGGACTTGTGGGTTTATAGTTTTCATCAATTTTGGAAATAGCCATTTTTTTAGGATTTTATTTATTTCTTAAAGAGAGAGAGAGCATGAATGGGAGAGAGAGAAGCAGACTCCCTGCTGAGCAGGGACCCTCACTGGATGGGGGGCTCGGTCCTAGGACCCTGAGATCATGACCTGAGCCAAAGTCAGACACTTAACTGCCTGAGCTACCCAGGCGCCCCTATCTTAGCCATTTTTTAAATTTATTTCTAATTTAATCCCACTATAGTCAGAGAACACACTTTATATGAATTAAATCCTTTTTAATTTATTGAGACTTGTTTCATGACCCAGAATATGCCATAGTTTTAATTAGGTAGACTTGGTTGGTAGTATTGTTCAAGTCAACTGTATCTTGCTGATTGTTTATTTCTTGTATCAGGTATTGACAGAGGGGTACTGAAATCTCTAGCTATTACTATGGACGTTTCTATTTCTTTTTGCAAGTTGACCTAATTAAAATATCGGTCTTGTTTCATGCATTTCAAAGCTCTGTTATTAGGGCATAAAGACTTAGAATTGCTGTCCTCTTGATTATCATTATGAAATGATCCTCTTTATCTTGGTAATATTCTTTCTCCCAAAGTCTGCTTTGTTTGATATTAATATAATCACTTCAAGTTTCTTCTATTAGTGTTATCATGGTAAATCTTTTCTCATCCTTTTAAACTATTTGTATATTTGAAGTGCATTTTTTGTAGACAACATATAATTGCATCTTGATTTTTTAATGCATTTTGGCAATCTCTGTATTTTAACTGGTTATATATATACTATCTACATTAGTGTGATTTTTGGCATGGGTTAAGTTTAAATCTATCATCTTCCTATTTGTTTTCTGTTTGTCCCATCTGTTATTTTTTCCTTTCTCTGCCTTCTTTTGGATTTATTGTGCATTGTATGATTCCATTTTACCTCTTTTGTTGGATTATCAGCTATAACTCTTTGTCTTGTTATTTCCATGGTTGCTTTAGGGTTTATAGTATACATCTTTTTTTTAAGATTTATTTATTTATTATTTTGGGGGGTGCACGGTGGGGGCAGAAGCAGAGGGAAAGAGAGAACCTCAAGCTGACTCTCCACTGAGGGCAGAGCCTGACACGGGGCTCAACTCCATGACCCTGAGATCATGACCTGAGCTGAAATCAAGAGTCTGAAGCTTAGGGGTGCCTGGGTGGCTCAGTCAGTTAAGCATCTGCCTTTGGCTCAGGTCATGATCCCAGGATCCTGGGATCAAGTCCCGCATTGGGCTCCTTGCTCAGTGGGGAGCCTGCTTCTCCCTCTGTTGCTCCCCTGCTTGTGTGTGCACTCTCGCTTTCTCTCTCTCTCAAAAATGAATAAATAAAACCTAAAAAAAA